TCATCAACAAGTGTTTAAAAACAACTATGTATAATCACATTTTGCCCAGAATGCAGATTATTCTCTATTTATTCTGGTTTTTTTCCCTAAAACCTGAATTTGAACTCCACTTGGAAATGTGTCCATGTATTTTGACACTTATATATCCTTTAAGAGCATCGTCTCTAGGAAATAAAACACAAAATGCTATTTATTTGGAATTGATCAGAAATGCTTAAAATATTTGAAGTCATTGAATTTTAAGAAATTATTGAAGTGCAGAACAGAAAGAACATATCTAAACTAGTAAAAATGTTCTTATTGGTAATTCTTCTGTGAATGTGAATATTACAAACACACTGAAATGTGTAGCTTATCTTAACATACAAAATATGATTATCACTTCACATGTACAGAATGATATTCTTTCCTAAATTGTGTTTAATCATTAGGATTTGCACATTATACTAATTTTATTTTACATATAGCCACTTTTAATGGATTAATGGGCATTTTCTTTTTGTATATGTTAGCTTTTATGATGACTTTGGATTAATAATTTTATGTGTTTATATATCATTTAAAATACATCATTTCACATATGTATATATATATAATTTAAAATATATCATTGTGTATTTATTTATTTGTCTCTATTTTTTTCATTTTATAGTTCCTTAGGCTTAGATTTCCACTTCAACCACTAAGTTATAGTAATAATATAGTCAATCAACAATAGTCACAAGTTCATCATTCTAAATAAGTGTATCATAACTTAATATCTTAACTTAATGCCTACATATTATATGTAGGTATAGACAATGTTAAAAAGTCTGGCAGCCTATTGTCAAGACATATTTAACAGTTTTGTTGGGAGTCCACCTTTTATTTAGAAGTAGAGATTCATACTGAAATGCGGCTTCACTACACAGTGGACTTGACTCCATTATACAGTTCCTCTAGATAAATACAGATATACACATGTTTACCTATTGATCTTGTATTAATCTTGCATTAATGGTTTTTGTATATTGTGCTGTTTAGGATTTTCATGTACTTTGCTGTTAGTTCCCAAGCATTTTATGCCTTGGAGTTATTTTCTTTTCATTTTCTGATTGTTAGCGTATAGAAATGATAATTTGGGGGGGAAGTTCCTGGCATTCTTTTTTCAGATTTTAAAGAAAAACTTTAAGCTTTCAGCTTTTGAGTTTATGATGTTGATTGTGGGTATTTCATAGATGGCTTTTAGCACAAGCGCTTTTCTTTCTCATCATAGTTTATTGACAGCTTGTATCATAAAAATTGGTAAACTTCCAAATGCATTTTATTGCAACAGTTATGATGATTATGTGTGTGTTTTTGATCTTTCTGGTAATTGGATGCATTACACTATTTTTTTCATGTGTTGGGAAAACATTTCATACAGCAAAATATCCGTGTGTTAAATGACTGAATCCAGGCCTCAGTATTTTATGGAGTATTATTTTATTTTGTTCCCAGTGAATACTAATGAATGATTTTCCTTTTCAGTAGCATCTATGTTGTGGCTTTGATATTAGTCTTAGCATTCTTAAAGAAGGAGTTAGCAAATGTTCCCTCTTCAATGGTTTGAAAAAAAAATTTAGTTTTACTTCTTTAAAAATTTATGTACAAGATATATTTGAGAATTTTGTTTAATCTTTTTATTCAAACTTTTAAACCAAATTAGTCATTTATTTTGATTTTGTTTTTCCATCATTTTTGTGAAGTAACCCTATAATACTGAGATGGAATGTAAAATTAAATCATTCGAGAAGAAGGTAAAATTACACACAGTTTTAAAGTAATTAGCATATGTTAGATATAAACTCTGCCTTCATTCATCTGTCAAAAATATTCAGTTACTGATTTCCATTATTGTTGCATGATTTATTTACATGAATTTCATGTAAATAAAAAGTGGAAAATGAAAAAGTAGGAATCCCTTTGATATATTACAAGATGTTGAGACTGATGTGAAAGAAAGAGGTTAGAATCTTGTTAGACGAAGAGCTGAGCCAATTGTTATTTTTATTTTTACTTCTGATACAGAAGCCTCGGGCTCTGGTGATAAACTAAGTTCATAGCATCAATAGCTTTAAGGAGCAGGAAGGGTGGAAATAATTCTTTGGTTTTAGATCTCAGACTCAACCAGATGACTGATTAGAAGCCGGCTGCTCAACTCTTTATTCCTCACCAGGCAGCAAACTGTGATTGACAACATGTGCTAAATGGGCAGGCACACAGCCAGAACAAGGAAAGACCGAGCAAATAAAAATGCAGTCTCAATCCCTAAAGACTGTGCAGTCACTGAATACAGGCAGCAAGAACAACCAGCAAAGAACAGCCAGAGCCGCGGGGAATAGGGATGGGAAGTCAGTGTAAGATTCTCTCTGAGCTTTCAGGAACATTTCCAGGGAAGGAGAGACTCTTGATACCGCCACATGGTCCAGGAGCACAGCTTTGGGTGCAGATATCTTCTGGCTGTGCCAATGTTTGGATGAAGTAAGGACTATCGCTATGCCCATCAGTTCAACATTAAAAGAGAGAGAGAGAGAAAGAGGGAAGATGAAGGCCATAGAGGAGGGAGGAGTGCTGGCAGGGATATTGGAGAGGGTAACCATCCAGTCTTTCTCTGTAGACAGACTGGCAGGGCAGTGATTTGAAGCAGAGGTGGAGAATATTCTATTAAGGGATGATTTTCTTTTCTTTTCTTTGTGAAGTAATATGATTCATTAGTTTACTGAAAAATGTCCATTTCTGATTTGCACTTTAAAAACAATGTAAGAAGCATATAGGCACATAGAAAAGAAGGAAAAAAATTAGGATATTATTTTAATACTTCATGTTTTATGAAGATAGTCTTAAATTATGCAGGCAGGAACTTCCACTTACAATATTTATATTAATAATACAGCAGGTAAGCAGCTGCAGAAATGTCCTTCTTACCTAGAGAGAGACGTCACATTCACAATTCAGAAAAGAGAGGCCCAAGGAAATGCCTTCCGCAAAAGTTATATTAAAAAAAAACAGAATTTCTTTAATTTATGTATAAATCAATTAAGATTTCACTGAGTTTAACCTTCCGCTTCCACTAATACAGCAGATATGGTGATTCTTAGTATTTCAGAAAGTTCTACATGTAATTCAGCCACTTGGGGTAAGCACACAAATTCTCATGGGTCTTTGTTTGTTTGTTTCCCTTATTCCCTCCAGAGACCTTGTACCGCTACGTCTGTAGCTCTTGTTAGTTTTCTGTGAAGTTTTGTTCATATGGCCTGAATGCCTCTCTGTCCAGCAGGCGTTTGTTACTGCTGTGTGCAAACCCAGCAGCATCTTGAGTTCACCTCTATGAAGCTTTTTCTCGCTCAGGAATTCTACATTTTCTGTCTCTCATCAGTAGAGAACTTTTGATGAACATAAAAACTTCGGATGTTCTTACTCCTGCTGAAACACTTCCAGCTATTGATATTCTATGTGTTTAATGTGGTAAACTTTTAAGAAAGAGGGAAAGAGAAAGTGAATAAGAGAGAGAAATAGAGAGGGAGAGAGGGAAGACTGCTATCTGCTGCCTCATGTTACATAAATGCTCTTACCAGTCTGGGCTGGATATAGGGCTGGACGGAGTTGAACGTGGGAGCTGTAACTCAATTCTGGATTGCCATAAAAGGATAAGATTTCAATTATTGGGTCCATCACTGCTGCTTTCCAGTGTTCATATTAGCAGAAATCTGGAATTAGGAGTGGAGCCAGGGATACAAATCAAATTTCAAATTACCGCATTTTTAACCTAATTTACAGAAAACTTTTTACATTCAATAGGAATTGAAATTACCTATATATTAAATTTCATTGTTAAGTCACATTGACTTGGATTTAAATATATTGCTTCATAATGCACATGAGTGTGTTTTTAAGTATCTTTTGCACAACCATTCCTGGAGATGCACAGCCACTCTCTTATGCTGAAGAAAGGGCATCCATTGTACATCTTTTACTAATGGATGGAAACAGTTCAGGTTAAATATGTTCCTGGTGCCAAGGGATTAATTTCTTTGCTGGGTGCATCTAAAACTTTCCAAATAAATCCTATCGAACAAGGAACATACTAAGCATGGGTATTGTCAGGCTTGTTAAAGGGTCTATGATTTGGAAACTTTTTCAAGTGTCTTTATATAATTGTAATGAATTGAATATTTTTTTTTAATTCGCTTTCTCATTTTTCTCATAAATACTAGCCTCTAGCACTGCACTTGCATTGAAAGAAACAAAACTAGATTTGAACTGTAATACTGCAATAAGGTGGAGCAATCCACCATGGGGGGAGGGGAAGGGGAGGGAAAGGGGGAACATCAGAGCCTATGAAATGTTGTTATAAAATTAAATGTAATAAAAAATATATGTAAAAAAAGGGAATTACTTGTCTAAGCTACTCTTCCTTTCCTGCTGGCTTTTATAATTTGTTTTCATAGCAACTGCAGAGGGAATACTTCCACTGAATATTTATTTTAAATTCTCAAAAGGCTTTCCTCATTAAGTTGCCTTAAAGTAAATGTTATACTTTGTTTGGAATTCTGACTGAAAATATTTCAACATACATATGTTGTCCTCTAGTGTCTGCATATTCAATTCCTTCTGTGTCTTGCTTGTTCAAATGAAGTGGATACAATATGACTCAAAAGTATTAAAAAATGAACTACAGATAGCAATTCTTTTATTTTTAGCAAGTAATCATTTAATACCTGTAGAGGAACACAGAATTAGATATTTCTCTAATGAAGAAGTTATTAAATGGGAAAAAAATTAATATCTACAGGTGAAATTTAGTAGAGTTTTCATAGCCAGCTTAAGAAAAAATTTTACCTGCTCTGCAATTTCTATGTGTAAAATAGAATGTTAATTTTTTAAACTCACTGATCACATATCCTCATACATTTTTGAAGTTTGTGCTGCGGTAACTCTTGTTTTTATTTCTGACTTCTGTAATTTATGTGTAATTGCAGATTAAAAAAATTAACCGAAACTTTCCTGTGAACCAGCAGGTAAGACTGAGACTTGGGAAGTCAAGTCAATTATTTCTTTAATATTATCTCTTATTAAAAGCTAGTCTTGATTTGATGTGTATGCAAACATAAATATCACCAGTTATTTGCCAACTGTGTGGAAACATAAATTTAAAGATTTTTTTTTCAAATGATGTAGCATAATTGCTTTTTCTAATCATAATACAAGTACATTTTAAATATATGTATCAAAATAAATTAAAATTAATATTTTGATAAAATAATGATATTTGCATGCAGCATTGAATAACCTGGAGTTCTGTTCACACTAAAGTGTTTCAGTGTATCTGAATTTGGGGGAGAATTAATTTTAATTTAGCTCAAAGTTTGAAAGAAAGGCAGAATCTGTTAATGATGTTTTGAAAGAAATTCAATTAATACACAGAATGATGAAAATGTTATTTAATTAATCAAGAAAGATGATAAACTTTCTTACTCTTGACATTACCTCTGATTTACAACCATTGGTCTAAATCTATGTGCTCAAAATGATCATTTGTAAATTATATATAAATCACAAATCAAGCTCCAAGGTAAAAAAAAAATAATAAAAAAGAGAAACACTTTTAAATCCTGTTCACTTTTCTCGGTCAACCACTTGTTGGGTTTATTTTTGAGGATTAATTGATAAACGATAAACATGTGTAAATTATCAGTACATTGTGTTATTATCATGAATGATACTGCATTTTCTTTGGAAAGGAAAAGAATATATGTTTTATGAAGATTATGTCATTATAACGTTGTTTCTCCAGGCTAGCCCATACAGCTTTGTGTAACTGAAACTCCCATCAGAATCACTAGGCATGGAAGTCAATTATCTGTGTCTAGGCAGCTCTGAATCAAATCTCTTCCGTCCTGAGCCTTACCTGGGTTCTCCCTAGAGCCCTTACCTGTGAACCAAGTTGATAATTTGAATAGACGCAGAGGTTAGAGCTACTGAGGCTCATGGTAGTGCAGCATCTTTGTTACCACATGTACAGTAGAAAAAGCAGAGCTGCAGCCCAGAGCCAGTGCTGGCACCTGAAGAGCTTCCTGTATAGCTTCCTCTATAGCTCCTATCCTGTCCCAGGTGATTCTGACACAGGCATTGCAAAGGGACACCTTGATACGTAGAATGTATGTACTTTGCAGTGCTTTAGTAGGGGGGAATCAATTAGTGGGAGGTTAAACACGAAGAAGCATCATCTATGGGACAGACTGCATTGCTCATCAGTAGTGAGAGCTGTTTTACAGTCAGATATCCGCCCCCCAAAATGGAAATCAACTGGTTTTGAGGATTGTTGCCACAAATATAAATGATGAATATTTCTCTGATGTAAGAATGACTCTAAGACTCTAAGATCATCACCCGCCCTTGCCCTTTATAACCTTGACACATGAAATATTGATCAGCGATTTAATTTGATTTACTAAGAGTGTCTTGGTGCCTTGTTAACCGCTCAATTATTCCTTCCTTCCCATGACAAGTACATCAAAAACTTCCTGTGTTTTTATAATATTCCACTGCACAATAAAATGTGACAGTGCTTATTTGAGTAAGAAGCAATTCATGAATTGGGAAACACCAAATCTGAAGTTTGGTGGTCTTATGACAGTGATAGAGGCTAGCATTTATGAGAAAAATGAGAAAGCAAATTAAAAAATATTCAATTCATTACAATTATATAAAGACACTTGAAAAAGTTTGTGGAGTGCTGAAATTGAAGGAAAGCTTTGTTTTGGAACATGAAACTTCTGAAATTCATGTGATTTCTCATAATACACGCTTTCTAATGAATTTTAGAAATAGCCTCATACAAATGCCTTATTAAGTTTAATTTCACTGAAAAACTCCTAGTTATGCGATTACAAGTTTATTGGCTATTTTGATTGCTTGAGTAAATTTTGCTTTTTTTTAATGTAGGTCATTTTAAAAAACACTGCTTAGGTTAATTTTTCCTGTTTGCAAATCAAGCAAGGTTGAAGTCCCTTGGTTATCCTCAGGGGCTTGTTGGCTCAAATATTCTTCTAGTCTGGTCCTCATTTAATGTGTGTTAACTCTGCAGGGTCAGTTCACTGACTAGTGGTACAGTGGTATTCCTTTCTGCCTGTTTTTGTTTTTGGTTTGTTATTAGTCAGAGAGAGAAATAGAGACAAAAACAGAGAGATGTGGAGAGAGATCTCCCATCAGCAAATTGAGTCCTCAGGTGTCTACAGCAAGAAGGTTTGGGTCAGTGCAAACCCTGGAACCCCGAACTCTTCATCACTCACAAGGAAGCCAAAGATCCATGCATCTGAGCCGTCTCCTGCTGCCTCCCAGGGGTGTGTTAGGAGGAAGCTTTCACAGAAGCAAATCAGGCACTTCAGTCTGGGATGTACACATCTTGCTCACTACAGCAAATGCTCATCACTGCCACCTCTGTTTTATCTACATCTGGAATAACAGCAATGGAAAAAGTGAAGGACAATTACATGTAGAATAAAGGAAATTAAGAAAAAATTTGAGGGCCTGGCACAATAGCCTAGTGACTATATCCTCACTTTACACATGCATGGATCTCATATGGGTGCCAGGTTGTGTTCTCGCTGCTCAGCTTCCCATCCAGCTCCCTGCTTGTGGACTGGGAAAGCAATCAAAGACAGCCCAAAGCCTGGGGATCCTGCACCCACGTGGGAAACCTGGAAGAATCTCCTGGCTCCTGGCTTTGGATCAGCTCAGCACCAGCTGTTGCAGCCACTTGAGGAGGAACCAGCAGACAGATGTTCTCTGTCTCTGCTTGCTTTTCTCTGTAAATTTGGCTTTCCAATAAAAATAAATAAAACTTTAAATAAAAATTTGATGCCTAACCCTTTATATTACATAAATATCTTACAGTTTTTATACATAGATATAGATCTAGATATAGATAGATAGATATACACATACACACTCAGACACACACATAAAAGTATAGATTATATTAGATTACAGATTATATCTGTATTAATATAGATTATTATTATATAAAACATACAATTTTTGCATTAATTTTCTTTACTATAATAGTGTTAAATATTCTGAAAGTTTATTTTAAATGTCAGCATCTCATAATTCCAAAATTACAATAATAATGTCCTCATAGTGTTTTAAGTAGTTGTAAGCACAAGGTAACCGATTTTTCTTCTCTTTGCTGCTCTTCAAAATGAGAATGGAAATTTTTTGGAAGTAACACTGGTTGAAAATGCAGAATTTATATCTATGCCTAATAAGAAAAACTCCCCTTCATTGCATAATAACAATGCTTTAGAATGTAAGGTTACAATCTCTATGTAATTAAATCCTTTAGGAAACTGGAAGTTAAAGGCATAGGTAGTCCCGTTTCTTATCCCTATTTAGCATTGAAGTATGACTGTTTCCATGTACTGGACTAAATTGCAATGAGTCCAATAATCTTCATATTCAAGTCAAGTGTTTTAACAGTAGCAGCTGAATGTTTGTACAAAGAGTGAACTTTTTGGTATTTTAGCCTGATCTAGGACCTATCACACACACTGTTAATATAGGACCCGAGAAATAGCAACTCAGTTCTGCACTAACTACCCCTCTCCTCAGATCCACGGTTGTATAAACTAAAACTGAAATGTCAATGAAGTAGTCACAGGATATGGTTAAGAACTTGCATTTTTTAACATATTGGTTATTCAATACCATGTCAAATAATTCCATAATGTTGTAAATTGTTATTGAGGTTATGTTGGGGCTTTTAATTGATCGGGGTGATATTCTGCCAGCTCTGCCTTCAGACCAGTGATAGTCTCCCCAAGAAACCATTGCATTTATCTGAACAATAAGATGCTGGACTCTATGCTTGGTAAATAAAGTCAGTAATCTGATTATGGTTTAATTATACATCCATAGATAAGTAGAAGTTAGAAGTAAGATAGCTTCATAGATGATACATCACAAATACATAGACAGATATAGAGAACACAAATGGATTATAGAAACAGATGAACTATATATAATCATATTTAATCTTCTGTTAAAAACTCAGGTATAAAAAGTTGGAATATTAATGGTCGGAATATTAATGCAGTTAGAGCTAAGTTAAAAGATTGAGAAAGGTAATGTCAAATTCCAAACTTCCTGATTAGCAAAAGCAGCCAATGTACTTGACACACTTGCTCATAAAAAGATCCCCAATACCCGCTTTCAGACATCTCACCAAGCCTTAAGGGATACTCACCTCTTTGAATATTCCAAATCGGTCATAGAAAATCTAACCTGAGAGGAATACCCTATAAACCAATGGAGTTGCAGAATCTGCTTTCTATCTCCACAGCTGGTCTGGAATTGCCAGTGAATCGGTTTGTACACATTTTTTGAGCATACTTGCATACACATAATCACCTTATGTTTTGTCCATGTGACTGCATAACACTTCATTGTGGTACTTGACATCATAAATGTGTTAGTTCATCAGCTACTGCACATTGGTTTCATTCCAAGTATTCAGTTACACAGAAAAAGCTGTCATAAATATTTCTTTACTTATACCAAAGGCGTATATAAACAGAAGGAGCAACAAAGAGAGCAAAGGTTCTTTACTAGCCCCTGCTGTCACTTAGGGTTGTCCAGTCTGAAATCAGAAATCGTGAACTCAATATCTTCTCCCGCATGAGCGGCGGGATCAAATCACCAGAGCCATTGCCTGATGCCTTCCAGAGTACTGCACTCACAGATAAATGGATCAAAAATAAAAGCAGGCTCAAATACAAGTAATCAGACATTGAGATGAGGCGTGCCGAATGACATCCTCACTGCTCCAAATGCCTGCCATCATTCTGTAACTATGAATAAGGCTTTATTGACATAAAAATGAAACCAAAAGACAAAAATAATGTGTGTATACAACCTTTTTTTTTTCTCATGATCTTCATCACGTTTAACACAATGTTGTAAGCTGTAATATTAGGCATTGAGTTTGTTTCCAAAGAACTGCTCCTGAGGCAGAAAC